TGACCACATCGCGTTGAAACACCGGTTTCCGAACGATCACCGAAGTTAAGCAACGTCGAGTCCGATTAGCACCTAGATGGGTGACCGCTTGGAAATACCAGGTGCTGTAAAATTATGCTGGTGTAATAGATAATGTCACGGGATTGTTAATCAGAGAACCGAGTTCCAATTGCAGTTGGGTTCATTACATTCATTTTGCGAGTAGTAAAACCCGCCATGACAGGGTTGATCAGAATATCTGCATGGGATGATCTGTCGTAACTACGGGTTAAAACAGCTGCATTCTGGTATGAACACTAATCCTGAATCTGTAGTTGAGGGAGCAGATGTTACCATTCTCTGGAATTTCTCTATCAACACAGATCGAACAATAAAAGCAAATCGCCCAGATAACATTATCAAAGACAGAAAAGAAGATGGTTGAACACTGATTGTCATGAGTGTACAAAAAGTGACAAAAAATGTTGCACTTAAAAACTAAAATTGTTCCTGTTGAGGTTGGAGCTTTGGGACTTAAAAAGAAAGGAACTCAAGAACTAATCAACAAAATCCAAGGCGCACCATCTCTCCAGGAAACCCACAAATTATTTGAAGCAGTGTCAATATCCTGAGTAGAGCTTTTTCTATTTAAGTTTTTTTTGTTTGTTTTAATAGCCGCCTTTTGTTTAAGTGGATTAACAACAACAACAACAGCAATAATAATAATAATAAAAAGCACAATACACCGGCTGAAGCTGCAAAATACTTAAAAAAGAGAACAAAGACAAATGCAACCGACGAGATACAGCAACAATTGCAAGATAAACCGCTTCATGGCCAACCGCTTTATGCCCACACCAAACAAATTGAGATAGACAAATCCCGTGCCCATCAGTGGCGACGTAGTGCAGGGTTGAAAGCTGAAACTGAAGACTTTTATCCTTGCTGCACAGGACCAATACTTATTAACTAGGAATTATCAAGCACATATACTAAAATATTGTGTTAGCCCAAAATGCAGATTCTGTGATAAATATCCAGAAACAATTGATAATCTTGTATCAGGTTGCACGATATTGGCACCTGGCATGAGAGATTGGGCCAATATCTGCACTGGAAAATATGCAACTTCTACGGGAAGGAAACTGAAAGAAAATGGTATGAACACCACCCGGACCAGGTTACGGAGATAGAACCTGTTACAATTCTATGGGACTACACAATACACACTGACAGAACAATCAAAGCTAATCGTCCAGGTATTGTTATTAGAGACCACAAACAAAAAAAGTGCCTCCTTATTGATATGGCAGTCCCTGCAGACTGCAATGTATCTTTGAAGATATTCAAAAAGCTGTCAAAATACAAGGACCTTGAAATAGAAATCTCAAAAACGTGGCACATGGGAACATCAACAATCCCTGTTGTAGTTGGAGCCGTCGGTTTGGTTGGAAAAAGATTCCAGTAGAGTAGGTGAAGGGATTCCTGGAAGCCCATGCCTCAAAGAAATACAAAAAATTGTTCTCACAAGTACAGCTCACACGTTACGAAGGGCTTTATCTATTTAATTTTTTTTTTTTTTTTTGTTAGTGGAAAGTGTCATGGTTACCATTTCTAACCTTAAGTCTCTGGGCGGGACCCGGAAAGAAATGTTTAAACGCCAGAAATCAAAGGAAATAATAATAATAATAATAATAATAATAATAATAATAAATGATGATTTGTAAGTTCCACTGGACGCAGCTTTTTCTCACGAACCACTACTTTGTGGAACCGACTCCCGTGGGGATGATTCCCCGATCAATACAATCTCAACCTGTTCAAGTTTACGGTTAACCGTTTTCTTCCCCACCTATCCGCATAAACTGTGCCTCTTGCTCTATAAGCCTCTACCTCGAGTGGACCTCAGGCCTTGTACAGGCTGAAAATAAAAATATCAAAATAAGGATAAAAACAATATCATATTGGGCTGTAATTTGAAAATGGACACCACACCTGCTCGGAACAACAAGAATAGTCTTGGATACAGTCTGTCGAGGGAATGAAGCATTGTCCGGTTTATTTTGCGAAGTCAAAAGACGTGAAAATAAACTTCTTAGCATCAAGCAACCTCATATGCTGTGCGGAATCATAATAATTACTGGGATAGGTTTTTGGCTTTCTTTGGGTATCATAAATAGGTGAATATTTCTCAATTTTGGATTTTATTCAAATATTTTGCGTAAAACCTCTCATTGAATAAATATTATCGGTCAATTTTTGTTTTTGGCATATTGTTTTGAGTCGTCCTCAAATAACAATCTAGTCAACCTTTTAGTCGTTTTATTGAATTTACTTTTACCAGAGGGAGAGTCAAATGAAAGTCATGTCATTGCTGTTACGATCAATCAGTGAAATAAATAAATTCCTTGAAACATCCCCTAAAATACTGGCTATGGCTCTCCTCCATTTCTACACTGAATTTGTTTTTTTTTTTTATATCTTACATGTTCTCAAAATTTTAGCATCCATAAGCACTCCGATAGCCAATGTTGATGGATCGTGTGAAAGGATTTCTGTCCGGGACATTTGACAGAATCGTCATTGCTTTGACTTGGTGTAGAAAAATTATCACACGCAAAATTATCGTACTTTTCTTTAAATCTTTTGTCATCGTAAGAAAAAAAAAAAGAAGGAAAACCTGTAAAAAAAAAAAAAAAAAAACAGCTTTTTTGAAAATATAACATGTTTCCTTTGAATGTTTTGCTGTGAAGATTTTCCACAACTAGACATAACCAGCTATACTTCTAGGGTACCTAATAGGCGATCGGGGTACTTCCATTTATTTATTATTTTAGAAGAATTTCCGAACCGACATACCTAATTAAGACTACACCGTTTATTATTTTCTCATTTTTTGATCCACTTAAGAATTTTTCGCCCCATCTTGCACTAAGACCTATTCGATTATTACATTTGGGGAAAAAAATCTGACCACCCCGATTATTAAGACCATTTACTAATTTCGGACTTTCTGCCCCACTAAATGATTTTCCAGAATTTTTTTTATATTTTTAAAAGACCTCCTACCTCAGCGTTTATTGCATATTGGATAAAATTTTGACCACCCCGATTATTAAACCCACACCGTTTACTAATTTATGAGTTTTTGATTCACTTCAGTATTTTCTGCACTAACACCAATCCCTTCCTGGATACGTCCAACAGCAAGGACTCTGATCAGGTGGTTTTGAGGAGCGTGGAATCACCTCTTAATTGCTGACCTGCGGTGGTAGCACCTGTTAGGGTCCCAGCTATCGGTAAATAATTAACCCCCAAACTTGGGTTAAAACACTATGAAAGTGTAAACATAGGTTTTAATACCAGAAATATTTTGTAAAAAATTACTACCAGCAATACATTTTTGATGAAAAATTATTACCAGCAATAAATACATTATTACCAAGAATACATTTTTGAAAGCAAAAATATTACCAGCTGTACAGTTAAAAAAATAGCAGCTATACATTTTTTGCAAAAAAAATTGAATAACCCATTGAGGTGTTTTATATGCTGCAAAATAAAACAAAACCAATATATACTGAGATAGATAGATAAAATCTTGATAGATAGATAGATAGATGATAGATAAAAAAATATTACCAACAATAAAAAATAACCCATTGAGGTGTGCAAAATAAAACAAAACAAAAAATAAAATATAAATATAAATATATATATATATATATATATATATATATATATATATATATATATATATATATATAGATAGATAGATAGATAGATAGATAGATAGATAGATAGATAGAAAAAAATATTACCAACAATAAAAATCTTGTCGGCATTGAATAACCCATTGTTTATATGCTGCAAAATAAAACAAAACAAATCAATATATACTGAGATAGATTTAGATATGATAGATAAAATAAAATAAAAAAAAACCAACAATAAAAATATATATTTATATATGCAAAATAAAATAAACAAATATATATATATATATATATATATATATATATATATATATATATATATATATATATATAGATATATATATATATATATAAATAGATAAAAAAAAATATTACCAGCAATGAAAATCTTGTCGGTATTGAATAACCCAATGTGGTTTATATTCCGTAAACCAAACCAAACCAAACCAAACCAGACCAAACTAAAGACTAATGTTTTATAGCTTATTGGGAAAAATCCGAGCACCCCGATTATTAAAACCACGCCATTTATTAATTTAGAACTTTTTTAGCTATATACCGACCCCTTTTATTAAGACTTCTCTGTTTATTGCATATTAGAAAAAAGTCCGACCACTGTGATTATTACATATTGGGATATTTTCCGCCCACCCTGATTATTAAGACAACCCCTTTTATTAATTAAATTTTTTTTTAACCCACTATATGACTTTCCGGCCAAAGTTTAATAGGACGCCCAATCCGCTTATTGCATATTAGGAAAAATTCTGACCACCTTAATTATTAAGACCCCTTCGTTTATTACTTTCACACTTTTGGGTCAATTAAATTATATTTCATCCCCCCCCTATTATTAAGAGCTCCCCTTTTTATCATTTTTGCAATTTTTCCCGCCTGTTTCCTACATATTGGAAATCCGACCACCCTGCTTATTAAATCCACCCTATATTAATGATCTGATATTAGTTACTGTAATGATTTTCTTTTCGGTATCCTTTTTAAAAATATAAATATGATCTTAATTTTCTCATCTCAGATTCTTTCAGACTCTCTGGCATTCGTACATTTGTTAAAGAACTAGAAGTCATGGAATCCATAATTCCTGACACTTTCGAGGTTGCAATGTTCCTTTCAAATTATATGAATTTACTAGTAAGATAACCCGTCATTGACCGGGTCTTTCGTTACTGGGAATTTTTACCGTTCACTTGGAGCAGTTTAAAGTCATCTCACCAGAAAATCAATATTAGTAACAACATTTGGGTGCAACTGAGGCAAATCCCAAAATTGGGGTTTAACAATTTGAATGGATGGATGGGGGGCTGAAAAGGGCCGTTTTTGCGTTCTCAATCTTGTAAGTAAGGAAACTCTTCCATGGACCGACATAATAATAATATACGATGATTTTTATATAT